CCAGCGTGCTGGTAAAGTGGAGGAGCAGTGTCGACAACGCCTGGGAAACATGAATCTACGTGGAAATCCACAAAAGAAGGAGGGCAAAATGCGCATACGCGCCTTTCCGGTAAGTGTGAAGAGGTAAAACTGCCGGTTGGAGCATGAGCCAGCATAAACTTGGTCTGCGATAAGATATAGATAACACTGATCTGTGTCCCCCCTCTTCCTCACTCTCTCTGTCTCGCTTACTATCTGTGTGTGTCTCTTGATACTTCCGTCCTTCCCCCTCACTGGGCACTGGCTCAGCAGGCTGCTCAACGCTGCCTAACACTGTTTCGACAAAGTTCTGTCAGGGTTGAAATTGATGAAAAAGCTTCATCACATTTTAGTTTTTAAGTTACTTTCAATCTCAACTTAGTTTCGACAAATTGTTGTTGTTTTCCAACACACACACACATACGCAGAAGCAGAGACGCCAGAGTACCGGAAACGCATTGATGACGAGCGCACACGACGTCATTTGGACAATTGTGGGACGCTAGCGCCACCTGGCGGATGTCAATAAGGCCTACAAACGGCAGCCGCTCGCTTACGGCACCAGCGGGCCAACGCCAACAAATTGCCCGAAGTCAACAGGAGCAACAGCCTGAGCAGCTGCTGGCTACGTCTCAGTCCTACTACATAATTGGGGAGCATCGCTATAGTTGGGAGCGCGCGCTTGGTTCCCAAAGTGGAGCCGGCGGCGCGCGTTTGCCTCCTCCGATGTACAGTCACGATCCGAGGATCGGTCTCTTTGGAGCCGCAGCGCCGCAGCCACCGCCGCCTTCGTCCAACAATCAGCCAAATAATCTGAATAGCCCGTCCCAATCTCACTATTACCCATCACCAGCAGCATCACCACCGCATTCGCGCATTGTAGCCGGCTCAAATAATTTCAATCATCGCTCCCGCAATACACGCAATGCCCTGGGGCAGCAGCAGCAACATCCACGCACTCAGCACCCAAATGTACCCCTCAATGTGGTGGCGCCACAGCATCAGCAGCCGTACCCGCAGCAACAGCAGCCGCTGCGTAACTCCACACGCAGTGCCGCTAGCAATTCCACATTTACACCATTGGGCAATGTGCCGCCACACAGTGAACACTCCGTAAGAGCGACCTCAGCTGTGCAGCCAGTCGGAGCCGGTGCCTGTGCCGGTGTCGTACAAATGCGTGAAATTGGACGCAAGTATCCATTGTGGCTGCCCGAGTATAAACGTCGCGCATTCAATGTTAGCCCCCAAAAGTTGCACAAACCTTATAAATAATTATCTAATTACCGAATATTTTTCACTAACCCTTTTTCCTTTTCCCTAATTGCAGGCCTCCATGGATGAGAAGTACGTGGATGACATATGGGCCACACTGAAAAATGCTATACAGGAGATACAGAAGAAGAACAATTCTGGCCTCTCCTTTGAGCAGCTGTATCGCAATGCGTACAATATGGTGCTGCACAAGCATGGCAATCGCCTGTATCATGGACTGAGCGATGTCGTCTCGAAGCATCTGGAGCAAAAGGTGCGGCAGGAGGTTCTCGAGCGTTTGCACAGCAATTTTCTGCCAAAACTGAATGAAGCCTGGACCGATCATCAGACCTCAATGGTCATGATACGCGACATACTCATGTACATGGATCGTGTCTATGTGCAGCAGCGCGGATTGGATAATGTCTATAATTTGGGTCTTAATTTATTCAGGGATCAGGTAAGTCAAACGCTACGCCTTAAGCGGATACGAATATCATCCAAATTTAAATTTGGAATTTTTATATTATATTTATATTTATTCGCCATAAATGTATTTACAGTTTAGTATATTAATGATACTTTCTCTAAAACAATAACTAGAGGCAGACCAATTGCATAGATATCATTAGAGATGGCTCCTAACTTTTTGCTTTTCCCATAATTATCAAAGTTCTTACTAATTTGTGCACATTATTTTCGTATTCAGGTCGTTCGCTTTCCGGAAATACAGAAAGCGCTACGAGAGAGGCTGCTGGGCATGGTAATGGAAGAGCGTCACGGCGAGCCGATCAATCATTTGGCGATCAAGAATGCCTGCACGATGCTCATAACGTTGGGAATCAATTCGCGAACCGTTTACGAGGAGGACTTTGAGAAGCCTTTCCTGTCACAGTCGGCGGCCTTTTACAAATTCGAATCGCAGAACTTTCTTGCGGAGAACAACGCTGGCGTTTATATCAAGAAAGTTGAGGCGCGCATCACCGAAGAATCGTCACGTGCGGCTCTTTATTTGGACAAGGATACGGAACCGCGCATTGTGCGTGTCGTTGAGGAGGAGCTAATTAAGAAACACATGCGCACCATTGTCGAAATGGAAAATTCGGGCGTGGTGCACATGATTAAGAACTCAAAAACCGAGGACTTAGCATGCACATATAAATTGTTCTCACGTTTAAAGGAGGAGGGCCTCAAAGTGATAGCCGACACAATGTCTGCGTATCTGCGCGAACAGGGCAGCATGCTGGTCAAAGAGGAGGAGAATGGCAACACAAATCCAATTACATTTGTGCAAAATTTGCTCGATCTCAAGGATCGATTCGATCAATTTCTGCTGCACTCATTTAGCAATGATCGACTCTTCAAGAATGTCATCTCCGCTGACTTTGAGCATTTTCTCAATCTGAACAACAAATCGCCCGAGTATCTGTCGCTCTTCATCGATGATAAACTGAAAAAGGGTGGCAAGGGCGTAAGTATCTTAATTTTAGATATTAGATATATAATCTTTACACTCTTTTTCAATCAGTCGAATTTAACAAGATTTAGTTATGTAAATTATAGAGCACATGGGAAATTGCGTTTTTTATTTGTGAAACCTTTAGATTTTGAAAGTCTTATATACTTAGTTTCTTAAAACTCTTTTTTTTTTTGATTATCTAATCTGAGATCCAATGTCTTACTATAAAAATTACTATTTTTACAGATGAGTGAGCAAGAAATTGAAACCATTCTGGACAAAACGATGGTTCTTTTCCGTTTCCTACTCGAAAAGGATGTCTTCGAGCGCTATTACAAGACGCATTTGGCCAAACGTTTGCTGCTCAACAAATCGGTCTCCGATGACTTTGAGAAGAACATGATATCCAAACTAAAGGCAAGTTTCGAAAGCAGTACCACATTTTAAACATGCCATTAACAAATTATTTGTTCTAATTGTTGCAGACTGAATGTGGCTGTCAATTTACATCAAAGCTGGAGGGCATGTTTAAGGATATGTCCGTGTCCAATACGATTATGGATGAATTTAAGAGTTATGTAAATAATAACAGTTTTTCATTGAGCGGCGTGGAGCTGACGGTGCGCATACTGACCACCGGATTTTGGCCCACACAGGTGACTTACATTTTTGTGGAATCTAAACCTTAATCTTAAACCCTCGGTTAACCCACAGACGGCAACGCCCAATTGCAACATACCCTCAGCACCACGCGAGGCCTTTGAGGTGTTTAAGAAATTCTACTTGGACAAGCACTCGGGTCGGCAGCTGACGTTACAGCCGCAGATGGGTGAGTTAGCATTGGTTGTAATAAAGCCCCTGTAATTTGTTCTAACAGTTTGTTTCTGCTTTGCCCAGGCACTGCCTACATAAACGCCGTTTTTTATGGCCGCAAAGCGAGCGACAGCGACAAGGACAAAGATGGGCCAAGCTCAAGTTCAAGTGGCTGTGCTGTGCCTACCACAACGCGCAAGCATATATTACAAGTGTCCACCTATCAGGTGAGCAAATGATAATGAGCTCTCTATATAAGTCAATTAAAATCTAATCTTTGTACTGTATCAACCGTAGATGTGCGTTTTGTTGTTGTTTAACAATCGGGATGTGCTGACCTATGATGACATACACCAAGAGACGGATATACCCGAGCGTGAGCTGGTGCGTGCACTGCAATCTTTGTCAATGGGCAAGCCTGCACAGCGGTTGCTAGTGCGCAACTCAAAAACGAAAACAAAGGACATTGAGCCCTCGGACGAGTTTTATGTGAACGATGCATTTGTCTCAAAGTTCCACAGGTGCGTATTATCGTTTGCGTTAACAAGTTAAACGTAAAACGTAAACGTTCTTTTTATTACCCATTGTGCAGGGTAAAGATTCAAACGGTCGCCGCTAAAGGCGAATCGGAGCCGGAACGCAAGGAGACGCGCGGCAAAGTGGATGAAGATCGCAAGCACGAAATCGAGGCGGCCATTGTTCGCATTATGAAGTCGCGCAAACGCATGGCGGTAAATATTTGAATCGTTTATTACTGATAACGAGTAATCAAATTTACAATCTTTTGCAACAAATTACAGCACAATCTGCTTGTCTCGGACGTAACGTCGCAGTTAAAGTCACGTTTCTTGCCCTCGCCCGTGTTCATCAAGAAGCGCATCGAAGGCCTTATCGAGCGTGAATATCTGGCGCGAACGCCAGAGGATCGTAAAGTGTACATTTACTTGGCTTAAGGAGTGTCCGCGCGCAAAAGGCATCCAACACATTCAATCCGTTGGCACACATACTCATCATTTTGCGATCGAAAGCTACTAATCACGAGCAACTACCCCATCTCATATCCTCAAATCCCTCCCCACCTCATTTTCAACTTTTATCAATTCGCAATTAATCGGTAACACAACCATCCACAACTTTAATTAAGCGCCAATGCAGTTACGAGCATCCAAACTGGAATCATATATTTTGACCAAGATGTTAAATAGAATTATATAACTCAATAGACAAGTGCGAAATTTGTAAGCCTGACATTCAAAATTGAACAGTTATTGCTAATCTTTAGATGGTTATGCAGCTCTCCTTCTTTCTCTCTCTCATGCCATTGCTATCCATAATATAATTTCGACTATTCTCTAAATTCTTCGCAATTTATTTAACACACTTTTTTATATTTCTTACCACACACACTCTTTTGTGGGTCACAAAACATAAGCCACACACATTTATAATATAGCAATATAGCAACAGCAACAAAATGTATAGCAATAAGCCCACATACACACATTATTACACACACACACACACACACACATGCACCATGGATGGAGAAGCGTAAGCGAAGCAAACGTAAGGATTAATGCATAATGCAAAACTTAACTCTAAGCAGCAGTATAAATATAGCTAAACTAATAAATTTCTAAATGAATAATAAATTTAGTGAGCGTTTCATGTACATTTTTACGTAACTCTCCCCTATCCAAAAACAAACAAAAAATCGCAAAATAAAAATTTAAATTTAAAATCTTCGAGATTCATGCGAAAAGAGTTTAAAGTTTGAAAAGACATTTTAAAATCGATTTTTTATATACCTTACTAAACATATTCGTCAGCAGCTTTTAAAAACTATATACGTGTATAAAAGTTATCTACTAATTTAGTTGGTATAACCAACCACCATGCCAATACCAGCCCAATATATTCGACAGTTTCTTTATTTATGCACATTTTTTTGTCCTTTTTCTTGTATTGAAAATTTACTGCTAACTTATGTGAGAGAGTCCATTAACTAATATAAGCGTATGCATGGAGTCAAAAGAGCAAAACGAACGCGTATGAAGAAAGAATTGTACATAAATTTTTGTTCTTATGTATGGAAAAAAGAAATATAAATAAAACGTATATGAGCGTTAAAATGTACAGTGTACGTGGCGTTTGTCAAATTTACTCTATAGAATTTTTCGGTATGCCTAAGGGGATTTCTATTGTCAGATTTATTAAAAACAAATCAAATTTACGTGAACTTAGTTTTAACGTAGAGAAAGTCTAATCTTAATTAGATCCGAAATTAAATGTTATTCGTTATACAGCACGGTAAGTAAGGTCAATGTCCCTTCAAAAATTAACTTCTCTAATCCAAAATATGTTATTTTTAAGCTTACACTAAAACTCTTCCAGCGGCACATTCAGAAACTTTTAAAAAGAATTTATGCCTGCCAGAGAGATATTATATTTTAGGCGGATTTATACAATTTTGTATACCCTGTACCCATGTATAATGGGTATTTTATAGTTATATTCGTTAACAGGCAGAAAAGTTGACATTTGTGAGTCTATCAATTATAGCAGACGATAGGATCTGTCTTTCAGTTAAGAATACGTTGCTCTCAGATAGAAACTTCAAATTTGGAACATGGATGCTTGTAAAATATCGATAGTTTCTCTCAAATTTCAGGACTTAATAAATGTCGATATCAATGTTAACATCTGGATTTTGGGAACTTACGTATTTTACATTCAATATTTTAGTCCCATAACAAACCCCATCTTACGATAGTTCGGTGCCGCTTACATGGTATCTCCTAGTCGGGCACCCTGGACTTAAGCCCTTTTGCTTGCTGTAAACAAACTTATCTAACCTGCAAATAGGCAGGCAAATTATAATTATTTATCAATTAAATTGACCAACTTTTCAGCCAACTATCGCCTGGCCAGGCCGAACGAAGCTGCGCAAATAGAAATGACTTGCTTTTAGATTTTCAAAATAAATATGCTAAGTTCTTGGGTAAACACAGACACTGAGGCCGCGACGGGGACAGAGACAGGGGCGCCGATTCCAGTTAAGACTTTGATGCCGATCCGATCCGATTCGATCGGAATCGATTCGATTCGATCTGACGCACTGATAAGGCCAAGCCAAAGAGTCGGAGAGCGCAGCAGCAGCTTGCGGCGCTCAAATGGAGCAGCCCCTCGAAAAAAAGAAACAAGGCTGTAGTGAAAAGTATTCGCTTGGCAAATACCCTACAAACTTTACGGCATACCAAATCGTACATAATTCAAATGCACCATATTTGAGGAAAAAGTTAGATGCTTTGAGAATTTGAAGAATTTCTATGTTCATTTTTTTACTCGTACGAAACTTAAACTATTTTTTCTCCTATTTAGTCTAATAATATATTTAAAAATATTGAAGTAACTTGTATTTTTATTGTTGTTATTGTATTATAGAAATCATAAAAATATATATAAAAAATTCTGTACTTAATATAAGTACAAATATTGCCTGTAAGGTTAAAAATTTTTCAATTAAAGAACGATCTTTCTTTCAAGAGTTTCTTCTTTTCAGTATTATTGATTACTATGAGAAAGGAAGTCTGCTAAGTATTGTATGGAACTGGAAGGGATAGGAACATCTCCTAGAGATGTTAAAATAAAAGAGAAGAATTTTGGCACGGCAAGATGTTAAATGACAGAAGATGTTAGATGTTAAATGTTGCTCAGTGTGAATTGACAATTGGGCAACATTTTGACAGAAGATGTTAGATGTAATAACAACAAAATGCTAATCAGAGATAAATTTTTCTGCCTGCATACCCACGCTTATCGCTTGTACGGCTTACAGGGTATAAAATAAGTGATATTGCCCATACTCGTAACTTGTGTGCACTTCAGACGCACAATATTTCTGGTGTGTGTCGCTCGCTCAGTTGCCGTCTGGTCTCCAAGCGCAACGGGGCAGCACGCGGTCGCGAAATTGGAATTGCGAAATACCACTTGGTGGGGCGAAGAGCAAGAAATAAGTTGGAGCCGTATCCAAAACTAAAGCTGAAAACCGAAACCGAAACCGTTTACTCTACACTTTGCGTGCGCGTGTGTGAGGCAAACACAACGGTGAAAAAAAAAACAAGAATATATATACATGTGTAGAAATATTTGATATATGTACATATATGTATGTGGAATACTTATGAAAATAAACAAAACTACGTCAGAAGACTACAAACAAAAGATATGAACACGCCGCCGCCGTCTCTGTCGCCGTCTCAGTCGCTAACGACGTCAGCGTCGCTGCCAAGGTTCGCTTGAACGTTAGGCGAATCGAAATATCATTTTTTCCGATTTTATTAACATTTGTTGCTTCTGTTGTTGTTGATTTTTGTATTTTATTTTTCCTTTTTAACTTTTTGTTTTTGTTCTGTTTTTTGTTTCGTTTTGTTGTTTAACGGTTGCGTGTGTAAAGTTAGTGACCTTAGTGAATCGTGATTTACAGTGAGGAAAACTGCATTTGAGTATCGGAACGAAATCGGATCGTTCGAATCAAAGCAGGCCCAGTGCCTGGCTCTCAGAAAGCCAGACGGCATTAGCAATGCCTTGGGAATTGTCAACCATTCACTTTTTGATCCAAACCAGACTAGAACAACACTTGGCCTGATTACACAAGCGATTCTAGGCTAAAGCTTGATAAAAAATTGGCAAAATTTTGAATTTCTGTTTTCTTGAATAGAAAAGAAATTACAAAACAAAAACAAAGTTCCATTTTATATTTTGTTATTTTTTTTTTTATTTTGATAATACACGATAATTTCTTGTAATGAGCCAACGAAATGCGTTTTGCATAAATGCCGCGACACTGGGCCTGACTACGACTGGTTCGCAGTCATCCTCGCCGCGTGCCGCCGCCAACCAGAAGCCAGGAGAAGGTGAACAGCAACTGGAGCAGGACAGAAAGGCGCGCAAGAACCCAGGGGAGGACGCGACGGAGCGAGAGCTGAAGCGTGAAGAACTGGAAACAGTTAGGAAGGAACAGGAGCAACCGCCACAGGATCAGCCGGACACGGAGCCGCCGAGCATAACAACGCTCTTTGCAAGCCTGCGAGGTGGAGCAGATGCGTCTGCTGCTGGCAGCACTGCGAGTGTGGACCACGTGCAATGTAATGCCAGTTCGGAGCCCACGTCCACGGAGCACTACCGCAATCAGCTCAAGAAGCTGCGCGGCATATGCGGAGATGCGGCCATGATGAACTTTGAGCTGAATAGCATATTTCTTAAGCGGCTCGAGGAGATCGATTGCATGGACCAACAAAGCGGCGGTGATTCGGTGAGTAATATTCGAAAAGATTCAAATAGTTGATAAGAAATTTGTTGCTAAAAGTCTCTTTACTTTTATTGTTGAATTTCAACCTCGCGCACAGAACGTGACGCCACAGTTGCGCCTGGTAACATTTCAGGATTGGGTCGACTTGTTGCTGCATGTCAACTACATTATATTTGGCAATATGTCCGCCATGGAGGTGGAGGCCTACGAGAAGATCATGAACTGTTTCCAATCGGTGCGCGGCGAACAGCAGCAGGCTCTGGACGAGAATCGCAAGCTGCGCAAGGACATTTGTGCCATTATAAAGCTGGTGCAGGAGGCTTTTCATCATAATATCTGGAACACGGATGAAATGTGTCTGGAAACTCTGACGGTCAATCAGCTGCTCGGCCTACAGGCCGATCAGCCCCGCCCGGAGAGCGAGGCCGAGAAGGTAGGTTGGCTAATTAGCATAAGGGTCTAGGGGCATCGTTCATTCATCGAAACTTGTCTTCTTCTAGAAGCACGAAGATTCAAATAGAAACGAGCCGACCAGAAATTTATTTGCTCAATTCGATTCCACCTACGACCCCTCATAAGTGCACTCATGTTTTCAATTTTACGTTTTATATTTCTGTCGTGTTGAATTATTTGAAATAAATTAGATTTATATGCAACGAGAGGGTTTCTTATCTGAGCACATTATATGATTTCAGGTTACCAAATGCATGAGATCTCTGGCCAACGAGGTGGCCGCCAAGCATGATGAGGTCTGCCATCTGCAGGACCAGATGTGTGCGCTCGACGAAGTGGTCCAAACCGCGCGACAGAAGATCATCCTCAAAGATAAGTGCATAGCGCAGCTCAATCAGCAGGTGAGATGCCAGTCGAAAGATTGATCGATTGATTAATTCTTAACAAATGCAATGATCGGCAGACGAATTGCAATCTAAAATATATAGTCGCAGGCCATAGTAGCTAGTCTCTAGCCGACTAGCAGATACTCTTACGCCAAGCTACACACAAAACCTTCTGCTGCTGCCGTATCTTTTCATTGCCTAACAATATTTATGCAATGTCTTTTTAATACACCCAGATGCATATAGTTCGATCCTTATGGCAGACAAATGTGTGTCTCTAACAAAGCGTAACGCTCTACATTTAATGGAGGAAGTTATTCATAAAATGAAATATTCCTAATCTGTGTATACTATATATAAGCCTACATACCAAATTTGGTGTCTAGCCTTATGGTTTTCGAGTTAGATCTAAAAATCGATTTGTATCGATTATTTGGAAATATCGACCAAACATGACAAGCTCATTTTGTGTATTGAGTCTAGTTTTTCGCAAGTCTTTACCGTTTTCGAGAGTTAAATTCTAATCGATTTTTATCGAATATTTCTTTAACTAGATCAACATATTCACAAAGACGTATTAGTATTAAAAGTTAATAATTTATAAACTATTTGTATAAAAACTGTTTATTTATAAACACCTTTGATTTGATTATTTTAAAAACTTTCCCCTGAGCCAATTTTCTAAGCTATTCAAGGCATTCCTCACATACTTGAAAATAATCAATTGTATCACATCATGGCCTGCTTTTTGGCACATATGTATTTAACCTCAGGGGGTAGATATTGCTTTGGATTTTAATTTATAATTTATAAGCACAACACATTGCTCACGTTTATAAGTAAAATTTCATGTTAAAAACAACATTTATATTAATCCTGTTTAGTTAATGGAACTGCAAGATTGTTTGTCAAGCATGACGCACGGAACAAACACCAAGGCAAGTTTAACTGAGGATTTCGATGTCGACTTCAACCATGTGGACTTCAGCAGCTGTTTGTTCGAGGGCCTCAACGAGAAGGACCAACAGGCCAGCGAGTTGCTGCGCATGCTCAACAAGGAACTGACCGAATTCATAGATCTGATCAGCAAGAAAGACTTTCAGGCCATGGAGTGCCGTCGAAAGCTGCTCTCCTGCTTCTTCGAGAGAATTGTAGGTCACGCTCAACCTCCGCTAATTATAAGAGCTTTCACTACATTTCTCAACCGCTTTCTCAGAACTGCGATCGCGCCGATACATTACGCAAATTGGAGAACTTGCGTGCACAGCTGCGGGCGTTGGATTGCAATTTTGATCAGCTGGATGCACCGATTGCCTGCAGCACCCAGATGACTGAGGACGACTTTGATGTACAGCTCATCGATGCATTGCGTCGCCGCCTATGGAACATCAACGAATGCAACAAGGAGCTCAATTCCAGATGCCAGCGTTTGGAAGTCCAGCACCGAGGTACGTATTCACAGCTAAAGCTACCATATTATATATACGATTGATTCTTTAGTTGAACTGATGGAAATCCGTTGCCTATACGAAGCTGAACGTTCCATAAATGTCAAAAACTGTGAGGCATTGAAGCAGATAGCTGATCTACTCTCCAAATTGGTTAGTCCAGCTTTATTATAATTAATACACAAGTAATTACAATTACACTTCAATTACTAATTGATTGCACCTTTTCTCTAGCGCTGCTCCGATCTCTCTTATGAGGAGATCTACACAGAGAAATCGACAAATAATCCATTTTGCGTTGCCATCATGGAAATGTACGAGAAACTAAACGAGCTAGAGAATAGTGGGGAGCAGGAGAAACAACTTTTAACCGTAAGTAATTGCATATATTTTCAATTTATCGTATTCGACGGTTATGTACCCAGAGAGTTCTTATCAAATTCAGACCAACAAAAGTGAGCCCCACACCACATAGCTGATAACGACAACAACTACAACTACGAAAACAACTGCAACAACAACAGCTTGCGACTTATTAACCCCCTCCAAGCAGCCGCCGCTTAAGCATAGTTTAAATTAGTTTAATTTATCGTAAGTTTCTACACTTGTAAGATAAACGACAAACGTTACCTAAAAGTAAACTTTAGCCATAAGCTTTGTTCTATAATGTACGACTACTTATTAGCTTTAATAATGCAGCAAGTTCCCGCCAAAAAATTTCAAAGGCAAAAGTTACAACTAACTACATTTACATACACACAACAAATATATTGTATAGTATATAGTTATATATAAATATAAATTGTTGCCCCCACACATGCAAATTGTGGCGCAAACGAGGGCTGTTCTTAGAGTTCGATTGATTTTTGAGATATTAGGATTGTACAGTCTGTTCGTGTTGGAGATCATTTGAGTAACACTCTAGCAATGAAATCTGCTGATTATAAAAATAAATTTTCTATTTACAAACTAGAACTACTATTTTATAGTATTAAAGCAACGGAAAAAATAAACTTAGCTGTACCCCCAAAGATATTGTTTCCAAGCTCATAAGGAAATAATGTCATTTGGACCTAAATGCAGTCACACGATTAAAAACTATGAAGTACTTTGGAGTTGGCCAAAAGGGAACTCATCCCGTTGTACGAAACAGGTTTTCAATAAATAATTGCCCAAGAACATGTTTCTAACTCCTAGGGGGGGAGGGGGGGGGGGAGGATATTGCCGGTTCCTCCCTATTCATACAGATGCGACCTTAATGATCGAATGCAAGCGAGTTTCAGTAAATATACCATATTTGATTTTGGCATTTACGAGTGCTATTTTCAGTACTATATCATGTGGCTGCCATAGAATTTTGTTGTATCAATATATCTTGACCCAACTCGGCATGTATAAGTTTAAATATCTTTCAAAAAGTAGCTTTTTATGTGTTAAATTTTTTATACTTATGCAGGTTGTTATTTTTCTTATCACCATCGGACAGTTGCATTTTATAGATCTATAGGAAGATTCGGAAAAGTTTTCAGCTTTTCTAGATATTTAAATCAAACTCCCGGCAACTGCTATCCATTACCAATTAAATCCCCACATATCTGCAAAACTTTATCAAAAGGGATTATTTTATTTTATGGACGGATTATGATAGGGTGATCTCAGTTGTTTCGATACCCTATCAAATATGCATTTCCACATTTTTTTGTTAAATATCCTATTAAATACCAAGTTCCCCATTTGACCTATAATGATCCCCATCCTGTATTCTTATTCTTTTCAATATTCTAACAAGTACGTAGTTCCCCATTTCTCGCATGCCCCCTCGTTAACAATGAATCGTTTGTTTTTTTTAAGGACCCCCTCGGGTGTCCTATAAATGATATATGCAATAAAATTGCATTCCCCATTGTTATATATATATTACCATATACATAATATACTGCAGTTCCCGACCGTAGTTGAAGTATATTACCATTCGAGTCGTTTGATTTATGCACTCAAATCTGTTGTGAAAAAAGACTCGAAACGAAGACTTACTATTTGTTTACATTGGACAAATACAAATCGCTTGAAACTCCGCGCGAGTTCAACTGCAATTCTGGTGAACCCTGAAAGGCGGGTAGGGCGGCAAGCTCCTCCCCGCCCGCTTCAGCAGCTAGGAGCTGAAATAGGTTTCGTGTTATTTATTTGCCCACAATCGACACGCGAGCTGCGAGCCCTGATATGCATATCGATGAGCATGCCAGGAGGAGAAGGGGGTTTGAGGGGGCAGATAGACAGCCGAATGGTCGCCGGAGTAGTCCGCGTCCAACGTCAACGTTGCTGTTTATTTGCGTGAAACAAATCAAACCTGTCGGGGAACAGAATATCGAAACGGAAACACAGTTGGAAATATGAAATCGGCAAATATAATAATCAGCCGCGGTGCTGGCAATGTTTCTCCCCGTCGCGCTGCACAAAATCAAGACATAAAACAAACAGTTCATGTGCCTTAATTAGCTGCACCCACATCGAGGCGCCCTTTGTATGCCAGGACGACGACTTCTCGTCATCGTCGTCTACTCCTGCGGCCACGAAGTTGACGCCCGCCGTGAAGTGTCTGGGCGAGGCGATAATATTTACCAGGTGGCAAGACTACGAGCAGGACGCGTCGCTGATGGCTAACGGATACGTGTGCAATTAACAAAGTTTATCCTTCCAGCCAACAAACTGAAAAGTTGGCCAAATGTGCAAATTGTTTTCCCCAAGCAGCCAAAAGTTAAGCTGCAAGTGAAAAGTGCTCGGAACGTGTGAAGGGTGCAAATTTAGTGCGGATTGCTTGGACAGCAACACGAAAGTTTATTAAAATATCCCTTGTCCCAAATATGTTTTTATATATGTAGAGTAATATCTTGTAGTTCGGCTCACGACCTCATCTCGGTTCGTCAACCTGCGTTTCTACAGCTACGAACTAAGTTTTTTACTCGTACCTTGGCTTATATTTTTCCAGATATTAATAGAACAATAAAATTTGATATAGAATTCAGGTATTTTACTTGAAAAAGCAACAGGCAAATAATATTACCAAAACATCGCTTCTGGATTAGGTTCGAGACTTCTTTATCCATCTACTTTCATTTAAGGTTCGGTTCATCGGAAATGAAATATTTAATTTCTGAATTTAAACCGATTCGCTAAAAGAAAATAATCAAATTCCAGGCTCAAGCCAGTTCGGCTCGAACCAGCCTAGATATTTATTAAAAATAGTTGCAATATTTTAAAAAAAAAATTAACGGGCTTTGAACCAAATCAGTTTCTAAAAAAAGTATGTTTCACAATTTAATCCGATTATAGATTCGAGCTCATGTAAATAAATTATACTTTAAAAAAATTGCATCTTTATTAGTCCGAACCAGTTTAGTTCAAACTTGTCTTGCTGGCTTAATAAAAAATCAGCGAGAGTATATGAAAAAGTTCATAAATAAAAACATATTTATCTTGTGCGTGATTATATACATATAGACAATATTCTAAAATATTAGAGCCAAGTGGTGAAAGGTATGGCGGCATTTCGTCATTTATTTGACATATAATTTCCCTCAACTTTAAAGACTAACTAATTTAATAGGGGCTTAGCCGCTATGAAAACTTCTGAAATCGATTTTCACATGGAATTAAGAATCGTAAAAATCGGCCCACATAATAGACATTTAAAAGTGTTTTAAGTGCGCGCAGCCATGCATTCGTTCCCAGCCGCCTTAAGAGCTCGACCAAGTTGGGGCTCACGATATAATTTAATACCGAGTGCAAGAAGTTTATTTGGAAATCCATGTCAAACAGTCAAAGGTATTGGCAAAATATAATAAAACATATCTATAAAATAATTGGGGGCTGGGCGACGCGGGTGAAAGTGCTAAAGAATAGGAACTTTGAAAACTGAAACTTTGCCACATTTTTGGGGTGCCACCCACAAGGTCGGAATTGGATTTGCCTTCATTTCCGTGACGAAAGTTTTAATAGCAATATTATTGGAACTAAATGAAATGGTAATGACGGCAAAATACGTGGCGTTTATAAATATTTTGAGCGAGCTGCAATTTGATATCGACACGAAAGCCCGACATCATTCGACACCAGAAACAATCCAAAGAATAACATAAACAAACACATAAAGCGTCTGTGTCTGGGGCCCGTCTGATATCAGACAATTGAGATGGTAAGGCTCAGGTACTCGAACTTTGAATATGATTGTCATAAGTATCGCTTTTCGACTGCAGACTGACATTGGCGCGGATTGTCCGCATCGACAGCAGCTGGAGCACACTCTGCTCCACTGCCAGACGCAATCGGAGATACTTCAGGCCACCCGCGACAACTACCTGAGCATAATTGAGGAGTTTCAGCGCGATCTGGAAGAGCTCACGGAACAAGTACAACAACAACAAATACAACAGCAGCAGCAGCAACAACAAAATGATTTTACGTCCAAGGAATCGGAGCAGAGCTACTACGAGGAACTGACACGAATCGGCGCAAATGAGCTCGAGCTACAAGTTGGGAATTATAATTATAAGAGTAGAAGTAGTTTTTTTTTACTTTTTTCTAGTATTTATTGTATAGGCTATTATCATTTTATCCCATAACCCAGACAATATAAGCACGCTCTACTGTCTGTCTGTTTCTATGCAAAGTGGTTTCTCTTTGCGAAGACCTTCCTAACGTTCGAATAAAAACGAATTTCTAGTAATAAAATCTTTAGTTTCTGAAGAAATCTTGACCAAACAATCAACATATACAAGTTTTATCATGCTCTTTACAAATGAGCAAATGAGCAAATGAGAATTAAGATCTCGTATAAAAACGTTTCACTGTGATCGAATGTAATCAACATTGGTCTATTATACGATATGGTACTATAGATAGAATCGGTCTAAAAATTAGATTATAAAGTTCTCTGTTTTTAAAGATATCTCCACCAGTCTCGGTCTAAAAATAACATATAGAATTCTGTCTTTCAAGATATCTCCAACAATCTCGGCAACTACGAGCTTCACAAATATATCCATACATATCTGTAAAGCTTAACCAAATAGGTGACTTTTATATTATGGTTCCTATAGGAACAATCGGTAGTATCGACTTCCAAGTATTAAATCTTCCAAAGTATTAAATCTTCCGTGCCCACTTACCATATTCCTTACTTATGATCTGAATCGTCAGTAATGCATAATATAGTGGGATGAATCGGTAGGATAGCTTTTGTATAAAAGCACGCTTAACCCAAATGTCGGCACGGATACGTCGAAGAAAGCTGAATCTAACATTAATTATGGTTAAGCTAGCTGCAAATCCTTTAGCTTTGCTCCTTATTATTATTTCCTATATTAAATTCCTTTAATCCTTTTTTAACAATTCCGCCTTGTTTGAATTCTTGCATGTTTCCTTTTGCAGAATAAAAGACTAGTTTGTCAAATACAAAGTCTACAGAATGCATTGTTGGATCGTGATCAGCAAATCGAGCAGCTGCGCTCAACGGTTAATGGTTACATCGACCTCAATGAGACCAACAGACTCAAGGATGAAATCTCAGCACTGAAACAAAAGAATAGTGAGTTTTAGTGATATATTCCAAGCAACTGGCAGGTCTAATAAATTCCCTTAGCTGAACAGTCTCAAAAAGTTTTGGAAATTGCCAGTTTACTGAAAGCGCAGGAGGAAGAGCGGCAGAAGCTATGCCAAATCAATGAAGAGCTCATGAATAACTATGAGGAGCAGGCCAAGAAGTTGCGGCGAGCGGATCGCGAAGTGCAAAACCTACATGACTGCGTGGAGCAACTGAAGAAGCGGCAGGATGAGCTAAAAACAGAGGTGAGGACAAAAACTAACTCTATAACTAACTCTATAAAATAATATCTTGGCACAGCGAAATCTGTTGCGTGAAGAGGTAACCGCACTTAAGGAGAAGGACGCCAAGAGCACTGGCCGGGAACGGGCGCAGGCCGATCAGCTGAAAAGCCGTCAGGCGGAGCTTGATAAATCGCGTTGCCTCGTCCGCGACATGCAAAACCATCTGAAGCAGGAGGAGCGCCAACACAAGGAAACGCTGGAACGTCTTTGCCAAGCCAACGAGGATATCCGAGTGCAAATGCGCGCCGTTGCCTGTGAATGCAAACAGATGCAGCTCAAGCTGAAGTATGTATTCGGTACGGTTGATCCGATAGCGTGTCCATCACCAGTCTGATTTGATTTGATTCCCCATCCTTAACTGCAGACAGCAGACGAACGTGAACGAGCAGCAGCAACAGATTATAGAATCATTCCGCAAGTGGAAGGATGCGCAGATCAGATCGGATGAAGCAATGCGCCAGTGCATCAAGCGTGCCGAGGAGCATATCAGCCTATTGCTGGAGGAGAACCAGCGTCTGTGCGAGGAATACAGGCGTCTATATAACGACTACTGTCTGCTCGAGGTAGAGTTGCGACGTTTCAAGGTCGCGGTCAACAGTAGTCGGTTTGTAGGCGGTGGTTACGAGCAGCCGGATAGTGTTGTCCTCAGCGGGCAAGAGGTGCACGATAATGTGAGTGCTCACTAAACCACGTCTTATTCAATTCATTAACCACGTTAACCCGCAGATGGCCAACCGTATGAGGTTCATGTGCAACACCACAGAGCGCCTATCCGAACAGTGCAAAACCCTTAATGCCGGCACCCTGCCTGATCTTTCCATAAATCAACGATTTGCTGCAGGCGGCGAGCAACAATCATCCGCCAAACAGACCAAGCCCTGGCAGTTGAGTGGGTCCAAGTCTACATCCAGCTTGCTGTAGAATATGTTTATTCATCCCTTCTGCTTGCGGTTTAATGCGAATATTTATTCTTTCAAATCGGTTCATTTCGCGTGATTGTTTTTTTTTATCACATTAGGACAACAGCTGTAAATTCAAAGTTGTAATTTATAAGACAAAATAACTAGAGTATATGCTTGTGTAAAGCTTTTTGACTTGACTTGAAAATTCATTAATATACTGCTTTTAGGCGGGTATCCTTAATCGGGCTACTAAAGCTCGATAAATTTTGTAGAGCATTTTCTAACACTAACCTAAGCCATCGCCCGCTATCTGTCATCCTGTTGCTGCAGCAGCTTTTCCCGCTCGCTGATCGCTATGAGAGCCATCTTGATTTGGGAGCGCTTCTTGACGCTCTCCTCGCGCACCACATCCGCCTGTTTGGTTAGAATTTTAATGCGCACATCACTGAAGCGTATCGCCTCGTCCATGCTCATTTCCAGATACACCTCTTTGCCCACGTTAACCAGGATTTTGTCCATTTGCTTGACGCGCGCCTGCATGAAAATGTTGCTGCCAATGTTCACCTGCGTTTTGTAGCCAGCCGGCATATGGTCGCCAAAGGTCTGCAGTGTATTCTTTAACTGTACATACTCCATGATCTCCTCGTTAAAAAGATTGATGTAGTGCTCCAGCTGCTTGAGATCCTCTTTAAGCACATCGTTGATAAACTCCTCGATTTGCGTTATACGCGCTTTATGAGCGTCTGCTTCCTGCATCGTTTAGTTTTGTTTTGCTCTTGAAACGATGTAGCTTAACAGCACAGCTGTGGGCACCCAAAAATCATATGTTAACAGCGCGCACTAATTTGTTACTGTTTTTAAGATAGTCGTTTCTCGTTACTAAGTGATATTGGCTGAAGGAGTTGTGTAGCAAAATAATTGGGACCATGTAAATTAAATTTGAAAGAAATGGAACTACTCACACGGGATATTTAATTTAACAGCAGCTTACTCTTCTGTTTCAACAGAGGCATTTTGGAGACAAACGCAACAGCTGTTACTTTAATGTGGTGGTGCGGCGATAGCTTGGGTTGGTGCGCGCACTTCATTCAAAATGTGTGCGAAGTTATCGATAAGTGTAGTCGATGTGATTTACTCTACACAGCAACCAAACGTTGTATATTGCATACTCTATTTAAATATTGAATTGAATATTATAAACTACGGCTGAGTGACAGCTAAGCCTCCATGCGTATAATCTGGCTTTCAGCTGATTTGGGCGACCCCCCTGCCACTTATGAATTCCAATTCGCATTTTATGTAATCATCCGATCACTTCTCGTGCCGCTGTTAGCTGTCGCGAGAGGCGAAAAAAGTCAATTGTTTGCGCACGCAATGCCAAATGTAATAATTTCACAGCGTCTTTTCATATTTATTTTGTCTTTGTTTTATTATTTGCAACATTGTTGGGCGCAAATCAAAACGGAATAAAGAAAGCCCCCGCGGGCCACATACCCAGACGGCAGCCGAAACTCTTTCATTAGCATTTTTAATGCTTATTTAACCTTTGCGCATTGCCCATTTGAACCCTGTGGACATTTCCTGATTTTTTCATATCCAAATCTCAGTTGGCTCTGACTTTGCCTCGCTCAGTTTTCACTTAACTTACTCGTCAGTAGTAGTCAGTAGTCTTGTTTGACTCAACATAGCTGTTCAATTTTCCAGTAAGTGTTTCTCCTTAAAATTTGCCATTTTCCAAAAATATTTTTTTTTTGCAGCATTCAAGATGAGTTTCACACTGTTGAGCAATCTTTTAACTGTGCCCATTAAACGGGCCTGTGCTTCCCACGGTGAAACATTTACGAAGGGTTGCGGAGGTGGACTTGGAACTGGGGTTGGGATTGGGGTTGGATATGGCGGCCAGTTGCAGCAGGTGCGCCGTCATGCGCCTATTTGTGGCCCGCCGCGCTTTCCTATGTCCACGGCGCAGAGGCTGATCTTTGGTGTGGGGCCGATTCTGATCATGATGATCCTTCCGTATTGGGCGCTGTCCCAAGTTCCTCGTTGGTCAGCAATGCACAACAATCGACCCTATCGCGATGAGGAGGAACCACACGAAGAATAACAGAATTTATCGCACACACGGAACACACTTATAACATGCTAATACACTGCAAACGGTGACTTCTTATTCTTGTTAGCAACTTGCAAGGCCAGCGTATTTCTTGTTTAAGTGTTAAATAAAAAATACAGTGCAACAGAACGACATTCGATTTTTGATTTAAAATTTGTTTTATAATATAAAAAATCCTGCCATAGCCAGACTCGATTTTTGGTTTAAAATATAATACTTATATTGAATATATAATGGCGTAATTGTTCTAAAATTGTTAATGAAACACTCCCATGGACTCGATTTCTGGCATAAAGTATGATATCATTTGTAGGATTGTTTATTAATACGGTTCAATATAATAACGATATAATTTAAATATGCTATATTTATGATTAATGATTTAATATTTTATAATACAATATTTTTGTAATTTATAAACTAATATAATAGTTTGTTTCAAGCGAAATTCCATTAAAACAGAAATTCTAATTTCTGTTCAAAATTTTTGTTTTTACATATATATATATATATATGCATTTTGAACATTTTTAATACTTTTAAAACTATATATTCCACATTTTACTCGCTTTAACCAATAAATTCATTCGTGGGCAAGCATGAAAATGGAATATACTGTGCAAAGAAGGGCTAAGCTTCATATAGGATCTAAATCCATATCTTCCTATATACATTTAGTATTAATATATATCTGGGATGCATATATTCGATATGCAGGACAGTTGTTAAATACAATTGGAATTACTGAAGCCCTAATATGAAGCTAGTTCTCTTGGGTAGTCGTGCTTGGGACACACTACCTTAGCCATAAAGTAGATCAGCATGAGGCCAATTAAAGAGAGGGACATCAAGACGCAGCCTTACAGCCAATTGGTTAACGGTTAAACACCTTTTGGCCAACTCCTTGGAAGCAGCTAAAAGCACGAACACAGCCAAACGGAGCAATGAAGCGACTGTGCAGCGAGCATTTTCCTTGTCATTTTCCATGTCGCCTGCCACAAATCAAAAACGAAAAGAAAAATAAAATCCACCCAAAACGAGCAAAAAATATATAAATAAAAAAAGAGGCATCCAAAAGCAAAGTGCCAACTTTCATTAAAAGTATTTTTCGCTCATTGCCAATGCGAGTTGCATTCAATTGTGTTTGCTTTTTGGGGTTTGTTAGCCTTAGAGCCAGCCGACTTTGACCAGCTTCCAGCTCCCATCCGAAAGCCGAAAGCCGAAAGCCGCCTGGCGTCTTGTCGAATCCTCATGATCTACAACAACGTGACCTTCTTTGCCTTTGCCTGTGTCCGCAACACACGTTTGTTTGAAAATGTAAAAACCAAAGGAAAGTGAATTTCTTTTAAGCAAATCAACTTGCTGTGCCACGCCTCCCGCCTGCCGCCTGCTGCCCCCTGTCTAGCGTCTCCCGCACGCCCGCAACAAATGTTGCAACGGTTGCCACCTCAGCTAGACGCAGATACGCCGATTTTTCGGTGAAATTTCATGCGCCATTAAACTGGTTCTGTCTGCCTACCCCCTGGCCCCCTTCCCCCTTTCGATGCTTGCCGCCGCAGCACTCCTTGAGTGCGTCTCGGTTGCAGCGTGTGAATGAGGCATGAAGGCAGCAGCCCCTGCCCCGCCGATCAATGCTTGTTGCACCTTGGCGCAGACTTGGCCATAAACATGCTTAATTTTCATTTATGCCACAGTCTTTGCCACTTTTTCTCGGCAGGAAGCCGCGAGCCGCAGCTCGCCACCGTCTCGCAGGCTCGTGGGCGTCCCATGTGGCAGTCAGAAATGTGGCGAATGCTCTGCACTTGTTGCCGCACGTTGCGTCAGTTTAGTGTGTCAGAAGCGGCAGCAAGAAGAAAGTTGCCCAGCACCCAGCTCGCAGCTTGCAGCTCGCAGCTCTTGGCCTGCAATTGATGATCCGGTTTATTTTCTGGTGGACAGGTTCGTTGTTCCTTTGGCGCACATTTTACTTTCTGCGACGGCTGCTCAAATTGTTGTCCACTTTCGGTCGCAATTAATTATGCGACGCTGCGCACTGAAAATGAAAGTGCGCTGCATTGAAATTTCCAAAAACGCCATGCAACATGCCACACAAATCTGCCACCGCAACCAATTCCAAGTTCTCGCCGCGCACGCGCGCGTGTGGCCCCAGCGGACACTTTCCTTCGCCCGATTCTGTCGTTCCCATCATTAGCTGCTCCCCGATCCTACCCGGACCGCCGCCAAGTGAGAACTCATTGTCGCAAAGTCTTCATTATCATCAAACGCGATCGCCGTCCACCAAGCGGCAGCGCAGTCATCTCTAGGCGTCTCATAAAGACTTTTCTTTACGATATTACCAACCAGACCAGACCTCATCTGACCAGGCCAGAACCGAGCTGTTCCCCTAACCACACTGGTGGCCACTAAGTTTATGACTGAATTCGCTGGTAACCGCAGTTGGCTTTGTTCTTCTCGCTGATTTGTTGCCTCATTTGAAAGGTTCCTCGAACTGAAGTTAAGGAAGAAACTGCTAAACAGATAAGCGCGCTCCAAGAGCAAAGAGAACATACCAAATGTATACAATAAAAGTAGATTGCAATATTAATTTTTAATAAATATTGGTTTTTTTACTTTACATTTAATTTTAATATTTTTAATAAACCTTTAAAGTTTTGTTACATTCAGAGTTCCGATTTTTTTAATATTTTATATTAAGTTATAAAATAGTTAAGACTTATGAAAATAAATAAATAAATAATAATACAAATAAATCCAATTTTTGGCAAATTTGGTCTTATTTTAAGATCGTATTTTTTAAAAATTATACGACTATATTTTAGTCCATATATTGCAATGGACCTATTTTATGGTCTAATAATTTTTTAATATTAAAGAAAATGCTTCGCCCAAAATTATAGAAATACAAAGACATTATTTTAGTCCACATATTGCAATGGAGTTAATTCAAGGTCTAATGTTGTCTAATATTGCATGGTTATTAATTCCATTGTAGAGGGTATTAACAACATCTTACACAAGCCTAAAATTGTGGAGGCTGACACTTGCAGACTTTGCCTTGAAAGCGAATAAAACATCCGAGAAAATTCTAAAAGGGTTGACCAGCTAAAGTGTTCAGACAAAGTACATTATAAATACTGAGAATACTTTATAGACTTGAAGCCAGGAAAAATCTTTGCATTCTTGCGTATGACTAGATCGGATATATAAAGTAAATTTGCTAGTGAGAGGCACAATCTGCACAGTAGGTCGCGATAGGTAGCTTCCATTTTTAAAGAACTGAATATTATGACGGGGTATTCAAAAATTTGACCTCCAAGTGGGGAAAACGGAGGTCAAAGTTTGTATGAAAAAGCTAGCGAAAAGTGCCGCGTTGACCTAAGTGGCGACTCGAAGTTTAGGAATCGAATCCCCGCGAATACAAATTATTTTATTTTATGCGAACGCGAGGTTGATAATTTCTTTGTACATTTTCGAAGTTTGCGGGAATTACAATTTTCAGAAATTTTCTATATTTGCATTTTAAACAGGTTCAATGTGGAAGCCAAATCAAGATCGCAAAGATAGTTGCCTTAGAAATCGCTTGGCTACTGACAGAGTTTCGGAAGAGGGTTGATTATTGGAATGGGTACTGAGAATAGGCACTCCTTAATACCGAATCGATCCTATGCCTGACCCTTTTATTAAGTTGCCAGTTAAACAGCTTAACGCTGGCACTTGAATGCTTGTTTATTATTCCCAGTAAATTTGTCTATATTGATTTATTTGTCCCTGAGGCCTGCTGTGCCATAAGTTCATATTAAGCGTAATTTCAATTCGGATGTTTGGCAATAAAAATGAAACGACATCGGGTAAATTGTGTGGCCTTTTCATTGATTCCGTAAAATAAATAAAAGTAAAAGCCCACACACGCCCACGATATAATTCCGAGGGCGACGACACGATCGTGTCAGCGGCCCATTTGATCTGAAATTGGAAGCTGGGAACAGGGAACTGGGAACTGGGCACTGGGCACTGGGCACAGGGAAGGAAGCCCATTGGAAACAATGCAATATGAAAACTGTGGCATGTTGGCTTAACATCAAGTCTGGGGGGCTCTTGATTTGCAACCAGTTGAGTTTTGGAACGGCCAGCGGAATCGCCTCCGAGTTGCGTCGCCTCAAAATCGCTTAGGACGAACTGAGGGACTCTCGAGCGCGCGTCTTTGGGGCAAACTGGCAATTTGGAGAGTGGCACAATATCCAGACACAAATTATATTAATGGTCTTTTGTTGTGCTCCACTGAGGCTGGCATTTTGTCTTTGCACGAATCACGTTTTAGAAATTGCATTGCACATAGTATGCCCCTACCCCTCCACCACCCTTTGCTCAGGCCAGCATCGAATGATCCACGTCGTCGACCCATAACCACAAATGTGCCCAACTCGAGTGGAATGGTGTGGCATGGAGTCAAGTAGAGTCACTTCACTGCCAGACTGTGACTGACTCGCTCGGTACTTAGTTTTTTTTTTTGCGCAAGTTCTCAAAGTTTTAGGCAAAAACCTAAGTGGCACTTACTTTTAATATGTTGCCATTGCCCTCCGCCCAAAATGGGTCTCAACTCGACGTCTACGGCCAACTCTCAAGATAGCTGAGCGGCGCGAAGGGGGGGCGAGTGTACAAAACAAATCGCTGCCGAGTTACCTGAAATAATTACATGCACACAAATTAGAGCGCTGTGTCATGGAGCAGGAATCATTCTGCATTTTGATACTCTAAAAGTGGGTACTATAGCTATGTCATGCAGCGTGGAAGGCATTGAAAGATAGCCTCGTCAAATGGATCAGCGAATGGGTCCCCGATCTTTAGACTAAAGGGTCAGCGGCTGCTACCCGGCTTTGCCTGGACCAATTATTTTTGATTGAAAGGTTAGACATTGCCCATAATTTAGAATAGATAATAATTTAAAATAGATCGATAGGATAAAGAAGTTTCTTACAACCATCTTCTGCTAACTTTCCAAACTTTTGTATGGATTATTCTAAGTTCCAATTAAGTTCTTATGTAAGATTTTGAAAATAAGTTGGAAGATGATCGAGTTAAATTTGAAATTTCGACCAGAAAAATACTTTGAGATCCACACGATCCTTATAAAAACCGTGCAATGTGTGCTTCAATGTCATATAAGGATTTCATATATTGTTTTATTTTTAATACTCTTATTATTGGTACTCATTTCTAATTCTGCTTTTTATTATTATTTTATTAAACTCTTAGGTTGTTGGCGGGGCTTCCCATATTTGGCTTATCAACAAGAGTGTATATGAAGAGTATTTAGTCTTCGGTGTGCTTGGGCTATTTCTTGGATTCTGCACAGCTTAAGAGCACTTGAACTACCTATTTGTTGCCATTCTGCTATCCGAAGCTCCGAGTCTTTCTGATTACGTTCTGCTTTCACTGGTCATGGCAAATCATCGAAAGAGATCGTCTGCACAAAAGACCACTTGGAGTTCCTCCTCTATAGCCGTATCTATGTCTATGTCAAGTGTCTCTCTCTCTCTCTCACTCTCTCTCTCTCTCTCTCTCTCTCTCTCTCTGTTGCTGTCACGTTCACTTGAGCAAGCCTCCTCCTTGATGCGAATGACACGATATATTTAAGCCGCTAAAGAATGATACCAAGCAAAAATATTGTGCGTATTGTAAGTGTTGTAGGGGCTTCCGTAATGAAAATAGAAAATTACAATGAAATTCAGATATGACATTCTTTTGGCAAAGTTTTTCTGTTCGTCTATTTTTTTTTTTTGTGGATGCTTTTTGTCGTATTTCTGGGTTAGCTGATAGTCTGGTATTTGGTACTTGGGTTCAATGTGCGCCAAGTGGGCTGACTATGACTAAGGTCTTTAATCATGGGTGGTCTCGATTGCCTGGGACACCTACTATTCCACAAAAGTGGAGTAAGCTCTGATTACATTCATGAACGGAACATTTTTTTTGTCATTGGCATCTGGTTGCTTCCGAGAGTTCTGGAATGTCTGTCAGGCATCTCGGCTAGGCAAATTAGTTACATTTGTTCCATAATTACGAATTATTTTAAACTTTCTCATGCTCCGCAAACGTTCATTAAGTCATGCAAGAACAAAATTCTCACAATCAAAATAATAATAATACGAAATGAAGGCAGGAAAAAATTGATTACCAGATTAAGTACAAGAACACGTACAATAATCATAACTTTGCTTACCCTTTTTTTCACACTTCTTTGCTGCTTCCTCTGCACACACTCACACACACACACACACACACACTGACACACACGCATCCATTTAAAGTGCCTTCGACTCAATCGCCGAGATCTTAAACGCTTAATTGCATCACGTTTTTAGACCAAGTTGGGCATACAACTTGCCCGCAGAATTATTACACAATTGTATTTGTATGCAACTATGTATGCGCGAAGATCTGAAAGACACACACAAAGAGGCGCAACAACAACAAAAATAAGAAGTCGGAAACGCTCTCGACTACGAGTTACCCTGTACCCAGTTTCGAGATGCCGCTGCACATATTTGATCTTTCCTCTGTACATATGCATATACCCTCTCTTACCCATTCTCAGTGGACACAGGGTACAATAAGAAACAAAAGAAGAGCTGAAAAAGAAATAATGCACATTGGCTGCAATGATTTCCACACGTGAGCAGAGCGCCGACTCACTGAACGACGAATTGACAAACTGACGGAATGTCTGCTTGGAGCGCTGCCAGCACTTCAATAGGAACAACAATAACAACAAAGTGGAGCTTAAAGCAGTGTAGAGAAGTTGACATGCTCTTCCTGCCGAAAAAAAAAACAGAATTAAACTTAACGAAACTTTGATTTTTATAGATAGAGCCACATTTCAATATGGTTGCCAAACTGTTAATTGCAGCTGAACTTAACGAATATTATTTGGAAAGCAAAGGAACTGTTGAGCTCAGCAGAGGACGACAATAATATGCCACATCTATTAGTTTATGTGCAACTTTTGCTGTTGGCATTTGCTGTTTGCGGCTTTTGTGCAATTTTCGTTGCAAGTGTCAGGCGCAACGAAGCGTTGCATCTTCGCCAGCCATGCTGTACGCAATTTGCTGTCTCCGACCAAATTTGGCCATTGGATGGCTCGGCTTACATTTGACACAGAAACGGCCAAAAGATTTGCCAACTCCAATTGGAGCTCATTTTGTAGTAGAACAAAACAAAATGATTGCATTTAGTTGCAGCCCAAAAACGGATGCACACTTCCGGTGCGCCGACGTTGCATGACAACAATACATACCTATGTATATGGATACATACACACACAGGCCACGCCTCCAATTGACCGCCCAAAGTCGAAAAGCCCAACAGCGAAACGGCGACCGGGCCAACTGCTGCCACCCGCGCGACAAATGTAATTGACCAAAAATGCAACGCTTGGCTGAGCTGTAGAATACAACAAACCGCAATTCCAGAAGAGTTGTTAAGAATTGAGCTCCATGAAGTAGCCGACTTTTGAATAACCTAACAACTGCGGGGGGAACAGCAGAAATTACATGGGGTCACACTGGCAGAAGCACTAACTAAGTTCTTAAAAGATTTCTCTTATTCTCTGCTAAACTAAAACTGAGTATGTTTATAATAATACTTGATTTTACTATTTTTTAGAACTAAGACTCGATATGTAAATATTCATCATAGGGCTTCCCAAAAAGGGTGTCCTAAGCAAATAAAAACCACCTCTGAACCGAGTTTTAAAAATAGTATTAATATAGGAAAAAAATGTATAAACCGAGGTTAAGTATTAGATGAACTGTTATCATAGTCTAAATATCTGCGACTATCAGATATGTCGTACCATAGTTTAGCTATATGGTTATTATAGTTAACATATATTCTCAACATAGTTTAAATATCTGATATATTATTATCAGGGTTTGTATTGTCTTGTATTTAACTGTTGACCAACTTGATCATCGTTCGCATATACCCTGTATGCCAGCAGTTGCCCTACACACCCATTCATAGTTCGGCTCATTTATTTTGTTTTTTTGTAACATGCATATTTTTGACTTTGGCTGATTGAATTTTACGAGTATGTGCACTATGATTCATCCAAGTCAAGTTCCCAGTTCGACTCACAGTTAGCCAAGAACAAAGCCGTCTATTTGCCACGATTGTGGGTTGAAGTTCGCCGTCGCCGTCGCCGTTGCCGTCGCCATCGCCGTCGGCGGCTGTTGAACTCGCCTTCAATTGATAGCTACCTATTTTTGGTTTGATTTAGCAATATTCGTTAATTAATTCATTAGCAGTTGGCGCATTAAAGCGGGCGACTTATCGAGATGTAACAATTACCAGATGTCGCAGTGCCGCCGCTGATGTCATGTCTACTGCGCACCTAGTTGAGGACACACACTTTTTATGGCCAATCGGCCGGCTGATTACGTGGGCAGGCAGCCGCGGGACATGGTCGTTGGACTGGACGGACGGCTGGCAACTGCCAACTGCAAGCTGCAGTTGGGGCCAATTAATAAAAAATGCGTATGGCTACAATTTTATTAATGCCGAAAATTAAAAGAGAAGAAAACAGTCGTTAAAAGTTGCGCAGGCCAGGCCAAGCCACGCCGAGAGATGCTGTAATAATATTGTATGCAAATCTTTCAGCTACCGCAACGGCAACATATAAAATTTCAATTTACGGCTCATATATCATAACTTGGTCAGCGGGCGGGTGTACTTATGGCTTATTAAATCGTAAAACTGCAAAGTGTCAGATCTTCAGATCCTCTGCATGCAGCTGGCGGGGAGGGGCTGCGGTCTTAGCGAGGACCTTGGGCCAAAGCCAGGTGAAATTTAATTGAAGTCTACAACAACAAAAGCCTTATGCAATGGGTCTAATACGAGAATCGTTGAACGTGGAATTCTAATTAGAAACACGTTGTATGTGAGCATTAAAACAAATTACAAATAATACTTTAAGTGCGTTTTTATTGGGATTAGCTTTTAAACCTTAAGAACCACAGAGCCCAATTAGTACAGTTGTAATTACCGTGAATTTCACGGTTCAACAGACAATTTCCGGACAGCGTCCAAAATCTAATGTTGACCAAGTTTATGACCCCCGTGTATAGAAGTGTTGGCGCAATTCAACACGACTTGACCTTAACATAATTGCTTCAAATTGCCTTAAATTGCACCTGAAGTTCACCTGGTAGGCATGTGAAATTTGTGTTTATATGTTGCTTGCTTTTGCAAAAAAAGAAAAATAAGACACATATTCCAATAAGAAGACTCATACATACGCTTATCAGCCGCAGCAAACACAACGAAAAACCGGAATCAAAATAAAAACGCAAAGAGTGCAAAATGTGAATGAGAGAGCGGCGTAGAGCGGCTGCTTAGCAGAACGATGAGTTGCTCTCTCACTGTTAGTTAAAAGACCGCAAGAGTTCAGCTGTTAACTTAACAGGGCTTGCTGCACGCTAAATAGCTAAACCAGCTATGTATGTTTTAAATGCATTTGACAAGGATCTTAGCCAAAGTTAGTTTGAATAATTTCGATTATCAGCAATGTGAACTTTAAATTTACTAAACCGCCAATATTCACTTACATACATTGATAACTAACAGAAAACAGCTAGACTCGGCGGGAAAATAACATAACTGTCAGCACTAGCGTTAAGCTGACTCATGTTACGTTTACAGAAGTCAATTTGTTGCACAGCTAACAGCTGTTATTTTGTGTTTAGCTTTCGTGACGATCGGACGTGTGTGCGCGCTTTTTACTAAACACGAAACTGAAAAATTCGTAACAGCAGAATTGAATAAAAGCGTTTGATAAAGTGTGTTTAATTATCTAAGCGTAAATGCAGTTAACATTTTGACATCAAGGCAAGCAGAACAGAGCAACAACAAATAAATCGAAATAAAAACAAAAGGAATAATAATAATTTGATTTGTGTTCTAATCAAAGCGCGCGTGATTTTGTTTAGCACAGTGCAAAGAGTAAAACGAAACTCTCCCCTCACGTTCTGGCCGCTTCGCCTAGAACCGACCGCACAGCAAGTGTTAAATGCAGCGGCAAAGGCGCTCAGCAGAGGATAGAAGAAGAATAAAAAAAGAAAAAGAGGAAGAGGAAGAGCGCTCAAGCCAGTAGCAAATAACGGCAAAAGCGACAAGTGCACAAAACGTGACGACCGAAAAATATAAAAAAAAAATATACAAAAAAAGAAGCAACGCAAATAAATATTCGCTCTTTTGTGTGTTGTGTTTGTTCTACAATTATTTTGTGCTACATGTTTTGTGTTTCATGTTAGAATTAAGAGCAAATAAATGTGTAAATGTGTGTGTATGCTTCAATAAATAACCGACTACAACAATAACAACAAAAGTACCAGTAACAACAGCAACAACAAATTGTTTAAATTTCAAGTTGAATTACAATAAATTATCAATTATTTTATATGTTGAGACGCACGGCTGCAGTTTTTTGGTTTGTTGCCTAAACAATACCAACAAAAACATTAACAACAACAACCACCAGCAGCAACAATGACGGAACTCCAATTGGACAACAGCCTGACAGGCGACGTCGAAGACGCTGACGCCACTGTCGTCAAGGCCATAACAACAGCAACAGCTACAACAAAAACAACAACAACCACAGCAGCAACAACAACGCCGAAGGCCACGGTCAAACGTCGACAGTTTGCCGAAGGGGAGACCGAGGAGGGTTTTCTCTCCACATCGCCGGACAGCGCAAATGGGGATGCACACGCACACACGCGCACGCACCACTCACACACACACACGCAGCCACGCGAGCTGCAGCAGAGCGGCGGCGACAGCAACGTCAACTCCGAGCCCCTTGCTACCCGCCAGCTGCTGCTGCAGGCGTTCCATCAGTGCAACTGCGCGGACCAGTGCGTCTCCCTGAACAACATACTGGACTGCTTCAAGGCGCCCGTGTCCGAGGATCAGGCCTGGGCGCTTATCTATCAGTTCTCATCGCTCTACCTTAAAGTGGCCGCCCAGGCGCTGCACTGCAGCAGCGACGACTACGAGGCGCAGCTGCCCACGCGTTTCGAGCTGCATCTGCACCGCGACGGCAGCGTCCATTTCTCCGGCAAGGAGCGGCAGCCGCAGCAACAACTTAATACGGATCAGAAGCAGCCGTCGTCGCCGGCCTCGCTGCCGCATGACGACAGCGCCAGCAGCAGCGGCGACAGCAGCGTCGTCATTGGCCGAGGTGAGTTCAAAAATAATTATTATATATGTGTATGTACATATATATATACATATGTATTTATGTGTATATATAACTAATCGGGATCCAGTTGGGTCTTGCTCAATATCAGCATTTGTTTTGATTTGTTTGCAAAGGGTATTTAATCTTCGGCACATTATAGTTGATTATACTTAGTCTCTTTTAATAGTTTATAAATTTTTATACCTGATTTTAAATCCCCAAAATTGTAGATTAATACTATACATAAAATTATTTTTCTTGACTGATTGGTAAAAGCGTGAAATCTCCAACTAAAGTTACCTTTCTGTTAAGTGCACGAGGTTTTCACCCGTGGAAAGTTAACGGAAAACCTTTTGTTTTTATTATCCTTGTGCAAATTCATTTGAGACATTCTTCAACCTTTTTGCAATTTTCATCCCTCTTGGCTGAAAATCGGGTCAAAAGTAGTGTCTGAAATTTGCAGATAACATAGCCCGGCAAAACCGGGTAATGTCTTCTAGTATTTTATATACCTGTGAACATATGCATTTGTATATGTTCGAAACTTATTTATTAACGCTTTAAGAGAATCGTGAAACAAAATTAATAATTTTGTTAGCAAATACATTTTGGACATATACATAATTGCAGAACCGGACACATTAACACTTCGCTTAAGATTGGTTTGAAAATAGATTCAGCTCTACGAGTAATTTAATAAATAAAATAATAAATAAATAAAATAATGAAAAAATAAATAAATCTCTTTGCAAAGGCATTTTGATCGTTGGGGAACCGATATAAAAGTTTCTATTAATTCCGTTTTAAAAAATTCCTTGTTTGTCTCCTTTGACTATAGAAGGAATTAAATTTTTAATAGTTCTTACAAACAATTAGAAATGAAGAAAAGATATCCAAAATTTATGTAAAATAATTTTCAATAAATTGTTCAATTTATTCAAAGATTAGTTTCCCAGACAAACGTCGTAGGTAGTATTCAGAATTCTTAGCTAAGCAAAAGTTGCCTGGGCATTTATTTGTTTGTAATGCGGAAACATTTAAGAGCACAATTACAACATAATTTCCATAAAAATCGGCCCATATTACTTTCATAACTTCCTCTTGCTGTGCCCCAAAGTCAAGTTAATTGCTTTTGCAGTCGGGTTTCCAATTAGCCCTATAAACTGGCTTTTGGTATTGGCCGTATAAAGTTATCTGCAGCTGTTTTTGGTCTGTGAGGAAACTCAGGCTAGTTGAATGCAGTTGATACCAAATATGAAGATGCCTCTTCTGGTTGCAGCAAACGATATCTCGCTGCAGATGCCACCCAAGAGGAGAACATACCGAAAAGAATGTCAGATCGAACGGGAAGATCTTAACCTCTAGACACACACACTTTCCAATTAACGCTGCTTATCTAAAAGCCTATAGATTACGGCAACCTGTATTTTGACAGCACAGCCAATGATTAAACAATTAGCAGTTGTGGATGCCACAACGAGACAATCCCAGAGCCAGACATGTTCTGAGCCAAACAACAAAATAAAGCCACAAAACCAAAAAAATATCTCAACATCTTGACTATTGAGCGACCCTCATCAATTACAAAAGCAACAAAAATACCGCAGAAGAAACACAGATGAAAGAAAGTGAAAAATAGAGTTGATAGGCAACTAGATGCGCTATATGCTAGTACACTGGAAAAAATTAAATTAAAATTCATAAACATAGTAGAAAATGTTTGATTTAAGTACAAGATTCTTTTTCAAATTCCAAATTGAATTTCTTAAAAAATATTACAACGAAAATAAAAATTAAATAAATAAATTAAAAGAACAAATGGACTTCAACCAAAAAAATTATATTAAAATAAATCAAAGAAACATTTTGAAACATACTTATATATATATAAATATAAACTTTATACTTGTTGATACTGATAATAGTATTATTTAACCCAAATCAAGATTTTTTTTTTAATTTCGACAAAATTGCAGTTTTTTTACATATTTCTTTCTGTGTTGCTATGGCAGATGGTATATGGTATGCGATGGGCTCTCCCTCTCTTATGGGAGTCGCAGTTTACACTTTCCCAAGACACGAGACAAGACGCACGCAATCAGAGAAAAACCTCAATCAAAGCTGCTTTGGTGCATAACTTAAAGCGCAGGTCATCAGAGTTGTTGTGTGGGTTGTTTGTTTGGAAAGTGGACGATGGCGATGCCAATGCCAAGATGAATTGCTTGACTTGGCTTGGGTTCGGGTTGGCTTTGGGTTGTCTTGTCTTGGCTTGGCTGGGGCACACGGAAACGCACATCATCGGGAACTGTCCGAGAAAGAAAGAAGTTAACTGTCGCTTATTAAGTGAAAATGAAAGCGTTTGCCGAAAAACCACTCGACGAGAGACCCTCTCGACCAAACTCAACCGGTTTTCCGGCCCCTTGAAAACAGCTAGCAACTGGCAACTAGCCAGCCGGCCAACAAGCTAAACAACTCATTTTCATAGTCCAAAACTTGGATACACCATGCTTTCGGATCTACAGCGGTTCTTCTTCATTGACCTCCAACATCTAGTAGTTGAAACTTCCGAAAAAAAAATCAAATATTTAAATTGTGCAAAAAGCAAACTGGTTTGTCCTCTACATAATAGTCTATACAAGTGAGTCCTTGTTTGTCTTTTACAAAATAGTCAATAATTTGTTAGGGGTAGGGTATGTTAGTCCTTCTCTGCCCAGGATCGAAACCTCAAAGTAACAAACTAACCCAATTTTAGGAAATACAATTTTCGGACTATTGCAAATATAAAATTTCATAAAAAAGGTTAAAAAGCACAAATTCTTTTCATATGAATTTCTTAAATATTCTAATTAAATAATAATTTAGATATTTTATTAAAAAAAATATAAAGAACATCTTAAAGAGTTTATAATTTCTTTTCGAACACTCAAGTTAGTGTTCAATATTTGAAAACGAGTTTGTGCTTGTATAAATAAAATAAAATATTTTCATTTTAACTATGGAAAGGTCGCCAGAAACAGCACTATATAAAATTAAATATATTTGATGAATTTTAGAATTCACCAAAAATGCAACAAATCCAGAACTTTTGTTAAGCTGTATGACTTCTTTTAAATTAAATTGTTTGCTCATGTTAAGCACTTCCACTTGTTATTCATTGCGTTTCCATTTGAAATTCAGTTAACTTCCATTTGAGAGCATACTCAACTGTTGTATAATCCAAAGAACAAGTCGTTTATCGCTAATTTAGTTGTTCTTCAGTTCATTCATCTACTTATCAGCGCTTGAGTTTTTTGTTGTCTTAGCCTTGTCTTAACTTTCTTCGGGGCAAACAGCAAACACCTTGTAACACTTTAATTGCCGCTAATTTAGCAGACGGCACCACGAACCACGAACAGAAGACGGCAGAGAGAAGGTAGATAGATACGAAAAGCATTGCCTCAGGTTTGACTTGATCTTGATCCATGTCGGATCCGTCAATTAGCTGGCAACTATGCTCAGCACCCTCTAATGTTTCGTTATGTTTTCGTATGGAATGTGAAAATCAACATTTAAAACCGGGCTGAGCAGGTTGCGCGCCCCCTTTGAACTTGCCGCCCTGACAGTCAAAAATGGGTGTAAAAATGTGTGAAAAATGTTTTTAGTTGTGGTTGGCAAATCGAACGTTGCTTCTATCAAATGCTGACAACCGCGTCGCCGGGCACCGCGAATCATTGATTGTGTTTGTTGAACTCCCACCCCAGCCAGAACCTGTCGTCGTCGTCTGCGTATAATAACAATCAAGCACTCACCTGTGTCCAAGTGCAGTCAAGCCAAGTCAATGCAAACGACGTCGACGGCGCCGCCAAGTCGCCGCGCTCGCTGGCGCCTCGATTAGGCGCGCAGCATTTGCTAGCCAACTGACTGGCAAATGGCAACAGGCGGCAATCATTTTGGCGCTCGATTCTGTCAACACACAAACTCGCCATTACGTTTTTCGCCAGGCGCTCAGCTAATTTAGAAATGCGCCCCAGCTGCCTAGTGAAAGTTTATTAAGCGCGACACCCCAAACCCACCCAATTCCAGCCCCAACAGCCGCCTACAACTTGTCTGAAGGTCACGGCACATGCGCTCTTGTGTGCAACCCCCTGTTAAATTGTTGTCGTAGGTTCTCTTCTATCAAGCTAGCCCTCCCTCTCTCTCTACATCTGTCTCTCTCTCTCCCTCGCTCTCGCTCTCTTCTCATCAGCTGTTGATTGCTTTCGTTCAGTTTCCGCCAAGGCATCATTTTTAAAGCAGCTCTTCCGTTTATAACACGAGAAAACGTATTTTAAAGCAAAAGTGCTTTAGTAGAGAGTGCTCGACTGGCAGATACCCTAAACTCGGGCGTGAATCACATCACAAAATTTGTTTTGTTGTTTTGGTGGAACTGGGGAATTATTATTAATGCAAACCTATTTATATTTCATGCTTCGTATCCCTACAATCCAATCAAATAATTCGATTTTCTTAATATCCTGATTACATACTATCCTATTTTTCCGTAGCCAAGAAATCTTCTGAAAATTTCATGTAAATTAGATGTGATTATGTTATTTAAGACCCAAATTATATTCTGATTATGATTTTTACTTTACCCCTTCTTACCTATTTATTATAGCAACGGGTATACATTTTATTAAAAAAAAAAAACGTAAAATGCAGCATTCTAACAATTTGTAGCCATTAGACAGAGTTTCACCCAACAAAGAAAAAAGTATTGACAATAGCAGAAGAAAGCAGGTTACTTTTGGCCTTCTGCTTTGGTCCAATAAAAAAACCCCTTACTCATTATTTTGGGCTTGTAGCCTTTAAGCCAGAAAAATTACAGCCGTCAACACAGTTCTGTAAATTGTTTGAAGAAAAAGAAATAAGATGGAAAATTACGTACATCGACTGCTCGGACACACTGTGTTGGATGGGGTCCAGATGATGGGTCTAATGGGTGATGATATTTTATTTTCATGTCTATGACTTTCTTGTTT